ATGGTTATAAATAGTGAGGAGAAGCACAAGGGTACGATTTGTGAATGAATCATTGATCATTATTTGAACATTATTATAATAAGGTTTTTTTATTATCAAGTTTTATTTTTTTTACTTTAGTTTGTGTTTACATAGTCGGAGTGAAGTGAATTTTAAGCTTTGTAATGATGGTTTACTTACTAATCTTTGTTTGTTTTGTTCTTTTCAACATTACAATTACTAATTAATAACCACGTGTCTATACTTTGATTTTTCATCTAATATGTTCCCGTAATTAAATTATTGTTTTATAGAGAGGGAGAGAAAGCTTAATTGGTCATATGATTTCATAGTTTTTTTTACCAAAACAACCAATTTCATCTACTTTCTGTATTATACTAAATTCCTTTTCTTCATTACACACGAAAACAATTTGAAAACGATTTATTGTAAACAGCAAGTGTTTAGTATGATAACCAAAGAAAGCATTTGGGGGAGTTGAAAAAGTGAGAACATGAGCTTGTGGTCCCATTATTAATTACAGATAAAATAAGATGCAAATTAAATATTGTCACGCCTAAAAGACAACGCATGCTGACACATTAAACACCATTTTTTACATATATATAAATGGTAAAATATTTTGCATATATTCATGCACCATGTTAATAAGGATCTTATTTCACGTTACAAGTGAGTGTAACATTCAAACGATAACAAAGAACGAAATAATTGTTAGCAAACGCTATTATAATGCTCTATATAATTTATGGACAATCGTATATAGTGTGCATCATGTCTACTTTATAGAAAATTAGACTAGTTGATCTATAAGAATGGTACTAGCATGTGAACCATGAACTGTAAAACTGCAAAAAGTGTGATGATTAGAAGCATAATTTATTCAAATTATTTGGTTAGATACTTGGTAACACAGTTGAATAAATTAATCGTGGGTTCATTCATACACGCATCCTTAGATACCGTTTCACTTTCGGCTAACAAAATTAGAATTTAATAACATTTTTTATTATTATCATGTTGTCATTTGCTTAGCCAACCAAGCTTCTTCAATTACCCAATCACATGTAACCCATCAAAGAATGTTAAGTGATTTGATATATTCTAGAAAAGTTAATGACTTAAGGGTATAACCTAATCTCATTTATCTTTGGATTTTGGGATTAAATCGAAACTTTTATTGGCTGAGTTTTTGCTATTATTTTGAGTAACATGGTTGGTGTTCATTTCATCCAATTTGCGTGTAACTCAATCTCTAAATTTCAATTAATTGTTCCCATGTACAATAGATTCAATGATCTACCCAAGATTCATTTATAAATTCAATTTTTTGCAAGATTAAAGAACAACTTTTAAAATACTATAAGACTCGAGTTCAAAACAAGGATTATAGTTAAATATAAAAGTACCTTAATACGGTTGAAATACAAAATTACCGGCAAAAAGGAAACTTAATGATATGGTCTAAATCCTCAGAAGAC